TCAAGATGGTAAAGGGGCTATAAATGGTAAGTAAAATCTTGTTTATATAAGCTTTTATGAATAATTTCTACTATGCATATAAATTTATGGATACGCAACAACCTTATTCAGTAATTAATTGATCTTACAGAATGAATAAATATGTGGCTTTCAGTGAATCTTAAGACTCGCGTTTCACCCTACTTAAGACTCGTTAGTTGAATGTATCAGCAATCGATTTCATTCTCCCAAGTTTTCAACTTACTTGGGTTAATAATTATTCATTTACGCTTTAACTGTGTTATTATTATTTTAACATTACAGGGATTGCTATGGAGGATTTATACTGGCGTTGTCGTGACGCTTTTCTGACAAGTAATGAAACAACTTTAAAAGCCCAATTGACTGAATTCCGTGATCATAAATTAATTAAAATAAAGAAGGTTAGTTTTATTCTCGATTTTTTGTCCACCCGATTATTCTGTATTCTCAATCATTTTTACTGTAGTGATGAATAAAACTTATTTAGTGCTCTTATAACTGTAGCTGAGTGGATGCCTTGTTAACGTATGACGTGATAAGACCGCCAATCAGAGAGCAGCGAATTATCGATTGGAACAGTGACACACGGAAACCGTACGAGCAGTCTTGAGTACTTATCGGTCCTGATTCTGCATAGCCCAGCCATTTGAGTCCAGAACAGCCTCTGCGGTATAAATCATTATATTTCTAACATACTGAGTTTATATACCATATCGTACCATACAATAGAAAATAACATGTGTACAAGATTTAGCCAAATGTGGCTGTGAATAGGGGGAACAGTAATCAATTGACTGGGTGTAATTCATAAATGGTAAATCGTATAACAAAAGTTTATAGTTCAAAATGAAGCTCATGATAAGGAGAACATGAATGTGAATAGTTTAGTTATTTAGCAATTACACGATAAAAAATATCTGTATAATATCGGTCCATAAATGAATCCCAAAGTTATCATTCACTATTGTTATCGGGACATAGCAAATGCACAGCATATGTTCCAGTAGCTACGTGATTCTTCACTTATATCTGTTAGGCTTTATGATTTACTGTTATTCATGTTTCCAAAGGATGGTGAATTTAAGTCTTCAAGGAACTGTTACACAACTTGTTGTATGAATTTACTCATTTATTTTAATCTTTCAACCGACATTAATATACCGATTGTTTATAAAATCACTATTTAAAGAGTTCTCATTTTTTGACATGAGTTAATGGATGACTATTCAATGGGTATTACTGACGCATTGTATCTTAGTACGTAATATTTTTTCAAAAAAGAACTAATGCGATATTTACGCTTAGAAGATTTAATGGTTAGTCTATACTGATCGGCAAACTATCCATCTAAATAGTTTGTTAAATGTTCAAGCAGATTATTACACAGGTTAAAGTCTTTTTGTTCATTCGATTCAGTTCGATGTATATGATGTTTAGTTTCTACATCACTTATTTTCTTCTGGCACTTATAGTCAGCCTATAGAGAATCCCAGTCTAGATTGGTTGTGTCATGAATTAGCCGTCAGTGTTGTTCACGTTTGTCCTAATTTTACTGTTTGTCGTAGATGTGTTTCTAATTATAAACTTTTCACATAATTTATTAAGGATCCGTCTGTTACATCGAGACCCTTTCATTCATTCCAACGAGACAAATTATTGTCTTATTTGTCAAGCTTCTATTCAACTTTCTTCATATATGCTGAAATTATCGATCGTGAAACAATGGCTTAATAGTCACAGAATTTGTGTTTTAAACAATAAATTCCAGGTTTGAAACTCATATCCCTTAGTTCAGTGTGAGTAGCCGGGTAGTATCACTAGGTCTTAGACACAGTGTGGATTAAACCTTTACCTGGTTAAGGAGTTACATCGAGTAAGCATTTTTCATATTAGATATTCAGTACTGAATGAAAGTGCTAGATTGCCTGATAAGATTGTGAACTCTCATTGACTAGAGAGGTTGGGAAATATTACATATATATGTAGCCGTCGAAATAGTGCTTACTAGCATAAAAACTGGTTTGTTAGGGCTAAGTATGCTATGTCATTGCTTCATGAAACCATTGGCTATTAGTCTAAATTTTATGGATAAGTGAAGTCTTTATTTTTGAATCTCATCGCATAACCGTGATTTGTGACTAAATGTTAGGTGATGTTAATCTTTAAGCAATCTGATTAGTTCAAATGAATTCATTCTTGAACATCGTTGTATCCCATATTTTCAATCCAATTCTTTTGTTTGTTTTTTCATATTCAATTTCTGTTGATAATGTTTTAAATCCTTTCTCTCTACTCATATAAATTTTCTCATTGTGATGATGGCGATTTCGCAACTTAAAAGATACACATTTTAATCTTCTTCACATTGTTATGTTTGTTGTTTGTGTATGCTTGATAACGTCGACTCTCCAACTAATAACTGCAGTTATACGTAATTACCAATTTGCATGCTAATAACATGCAGAAAAGTAGCATGCATAACTTTCTGTGTCTTATATTAGTCAATAAACATACTGATTTCTTAAAATATTACTATTTGTTTAGTTATGCTTAAAAACTCTGTTAGACTTTTTTCATATAGAAACTAAAAGAAGCCTTATTGTTTCCTAAGATGAGAATATGTGGAAGTTAACATTTTCCATTATGACTTCATCATTTTTCTATTAACTACCTATGGTATGGTATGTTTTCTACATTTGTATTTTCATTTCAGGGACCTGACGGCACGGAATTCATATTCATTCCAATGGATACAGATAATTTACAAAAGTTGTTGCAAAATATAGATACATTTCGATAGAACAATACTGATATGCTTATTATAATCGATGGCTTAATTCTGGGGACCGTATGTGTTCTAATGTCACTGACTGTCTCAGTTTACAAGAAAGTACGAAAATCATCTTGTGATAGTCACAAGGAAATCAGTTTGGCTAGCATAGTACCTAGAATATTAGCCTCAATAACCCCATGATGCTTTACTAGGCCTCGTGAAAACAAAACTTGGAAAACCGAAATTCGTTTCAAACCTGGACATAGATGTGCTAATCAGATGTTCACCCTTCGTCCGGTTTTGAAACATGGTTTTACTTACAAACGTCTGACTACAGTAGTATTCCTTGACCTGCATGTGACAGTCGATTCTGTTGGCCGAGAGTTTTTGAGGTAGCTCCTGTTATCAAAACATTTACCAAAGAATTACATAAACCTTTCGAAAGCTGTTTACTTGAAACTATATCTTAGCTTATGGCGAGTTGTCACCAGAATTGTTAACACATTATCTACTGCGATTATCTAGTAGTCTTTACTGAAATCTCTAACTTTACTGACAATAGCGCTTGACGACTTCACACCAACTGTCGAAAAATACAGATGTATGCTTTGTTACGTATGGGTGAAAACATGTTTAAAGTATATCACCTTTTTTAAAGTTAGTCAGTCAGTCACAACGTAGAACTTCGTACGTACGCACATCAGTTCGAGCTGCCATACCACATTAACACAGATGAAGTTGTCGATTCAAATCCCATAGTGGTAGAAGTAGTAAGAGTATAAGCATTATGTGAAAGACTAGGGTTTGAAGATGTTATTAAAATAGCATAATGCAGTGAAATAAATTTGAAAAGAGAAAAGTATAGGGACGTGAAGCATTCAGAGAATTAAAATTTGGTAGAACACAAAGAGCGGATGCACTTTCGCCATTGCAAACGATTTTGAACCATGTCATTCAAGGTCTCTAACTATCGATTACTATCATCTCGCGGATCCCAACTAAGTAGTCTACACCTACCAACATGGTTCAGTCCAATTGTCAGTGACTTCATGGATATGTGCCACGTTTTGGTCTGGCCCTCCCTAGCTTTCTTCCAACCTACTCCTACACCATGAAACATTGCACGTCGGGGCAGTCGGTGGTTGGGCATACGTAACACATGTCCCAGCCATCTCAATTGATAAACTTTCACTACTTCATCAGTCGATATGCCATCCTTACCTAGTACCTGTTTCCTAACAACTGCATTACTTACTCGATGGTCCCAAGATAAACGAGCGATGCTTCGAAGACGCCTATGATCGAATAGAGATAACACTTTCATCATCTAAATCTCCAGGTGTTGAACTTTACCGGCAGACTCACTTGTTGACTTAGAATACGCCGATGACATGGTCCTATTCGGTGAAGACGCTGACAAAATGCAGTCTTCTGACCACTATAAGCAACAATGCAGGCATGTTCGGGATGCGATTTTCTCCCTCGAAGTGCAGAATGTTACTTCAGGATTGGGTTGCATCGGCACCTGAACTATTGATAGGGAGTGAAGTAGTTGAGCGTGTTGACTGCTTCACTTATCTTGGGAGTCTCATCAGTCCTTGTGGTCTGGTGTGTGAAGAGATCTCAGCACGGATACAGAAGGCTCGTTTAGCTTTTGCCAACTTGCTTCATTTATGGCGTAGGCGAGATATTTCTTGAGGGACCTGAAAAGCAAGTTGGGTTAATATTGGTCATGACGACCTGAAAGCGTAACCGCAGGGTCTAAGGGACATCTGCTCGAGGCCGGTCATCAATGGCCTTTTCGTGGTGGACTTTTGACGTGTCAGCTTCGTTTTTCAAAGTGCCTTACCGATGGAGATGGAAATCGATAAGGTGCTGTGTGACATTTGTATTGTCGATCTTTTCTAACAATTTCCTTCCTTGTGGGAAGGCAGCATCGCTGCAGATGCTGGTTGTCTGAAGGAAACTCCTTAATGCTGTCACACCCCTCTACAGTCAGCAGTACGACTTCGCCGTCAGACCCTGAGTTGCTTCTTTTAGTCTTACCGTTCTCCAATCGATCTGGCTGGTATGGTAAAATCTACAGGAACATATGTTCCAGCCAATATAGCTCGATTGAGTCATCACGATAGACAAGCCAGACCACCACATCAAGGCAGCAACTACGGTCGAATTTTAAAGTTAGAATTTAGCAGAAAAAAAGCTTGACCATAGCTTATTTTTAATGGTGAAAGCATTCAATGTTTGTCGTAATAACAACAATAATGATCAATGATAGAAAGGTTCTACGACTATTTTACAATGTTACTCATAAATGAATTTATTTATCTTAAAACCGGTCACGAAATAATGTACTATGACAATGTTAAAATATTACAAAAATTGGAATGAACTTTCACATAAAACAAATAATGTAAAATAATAGTTTTGGTTATATTATGACGTAAGAGAAAGAGTTTTAAGAACCAAGCATTCATAATAAAAAGTGAACGTAATTTTAAAATTTGTTTTAGCCTTTAGTCCATTTATCCGTGAAACGCATATGGGCTGTTTCGTAACATAGACGCTGCTACTGGAGTATCATTCTGGAATAAAAACATGGTTAATTAAAAACTAAGAAAACATTCGTTTTATTTACATAACCTACATAGTTCGGTTGGTTCTACAGTATGAAAGTATTCATACATTCATCAGAACTAGAGTACAGGTGAACTATCCATAATTTTTTAATATCTGATAAGTGATTACTCTGGTCATTTTATTAGCTAATTATATAACATCGTATTTAGTATCGTGTCAAAACAAACAGTGAGGTTATCCAGATGAAAATCAAACGTAAAAAGAAACCCATTTGACGTTGTTGTACACTAGAAGTTCTAACGGGAAACGTCTTTTCGAACTTAATCATCAAACGATGGGTGAAGATACTCAGATCACAAGTAGTTATCTCAGTCAATCATTTGCAGCGTAAAACCTAACAATGTCACAACACTAGCACTGCGAGATGAAGTTATCAAGACAAAAATCAATCAAATAATTGAATTTCGGCATCTTTACCTCCATAGTGATCTCATTGGCTGGATATTCTGTCATTTAGAATAATATGCTCGCTGCTTTATTGAAAGATATCACGTTGTCTTTATCTTCTACATATTATTTCGATAGATGACTAATAGAAGGGGTAGAAGCGGTGACTTAAATTGTAATATAAAGACCTCGAAACAGTATAGATTTAAAGGTGTACAACCAGGGAACGCATCCGCGTCAAACTTTAAACCGTACTAGCTACCGTTTCTAGTGATTAGTTACAATCATCCTGTGGTTTAGATCGAACTTCGATGACTTCATGAGCTAGTGTTACATTATTTATATTCGTAGCATATAAACGAGACTTAAGAAATCTCATTTTTATATCAAACAGTTGTCTACTTCGTACGTAGTTGTGCACTGACTCACCGTCCGCTTTTTATTTAGAGATGGTGATTTTGGACCGAATTTCTCCAGAAAACCTTGTCCAATTACTGCTGAAGACCTATGATAGTGCGATCCTCCCAGTTCATCTTCTTGTTTAGTACTACCATTTGTTTCACTGAAAGGCCATTCCAATGACTCTTTGTTCCCATGATAACTTCTTCTTTGCCTACACTCCTGGGGAGTTCAAAATAAATAGAGATCATTTTAAATATTTTACAGCTGAAAGTGAAGTAGCTTCGTACTACATTCTGTTATACCAAGTAATAATTAAGTAGTTTCTTTGTTTTTCTGCATTCTTAACAGAAGATACTGATATGAAATCAGCTCCTTTACGTATTAAGTTAAATGTAAACTACACAAGGACTATCACCGGCAAATTCACAAGGTACAAACAATCACAAATGGTGACACATTTATCATTTGGAACAAACTGATGTATGGATCATTAAATTTTCAAAACCTTGAAACAATTTATTCACATCTATCACTTCTTGCAATTATAGATTTATAACGCCCACTCAAAATGATAGGTAGACTAAGTGGGGTCACATTTGTAGATATAATCAATTTTTAATACAGGAACTATAAAAAATGTAACAATTGATTTAGCAATACAGGCCCCAAATAAAATTCGGCGGTGCCTTGTTTTTTGAAAGTAAAAAAAGCAGTCCACTAGGCGTGAACAAACAACTGCTTACAGCATAAATTAATTCATGAACAACACATGTGTTAAGAATACACTGGGAAGTCTCATCCTATAAACTAGGTACCCATGCCAAACAATCAGATAAAAATGACATAGAACTTATTGTTTATGTCCATGCACAATTTCATTTAAATTTCGGTTAAAATTGCCGGTGACGGCGTCTCAATCTTCCTATTTTGGGGGAACTTTTGTTCTTTTCGGGTAAATTTTGAGGAAGCCTCAATAGAAAACCATGGCAAAATGGCACAGAACCCCCCAAATTCCCCAGGTCCGGGAAAAATCCCCAAAATAAGGATATTGTGTCCTTTAAAAGATTGAACTGTTAGCCGGTCTGGACAGGCTATGAAGTCACGCTACTTACGTTATTCTTCCTTAACCTTACTTCACATGTTTTTGATATTTATAATAATGTAATTCCTTTACTATTTCCTACAACTTAATTTACCTACCTTTAGCTCTTGTAAGGAGTACTTTGGGAAGTCTTGTTGAGTTGTGCTTTTAGATTTTGAAATCTTTTGTAAGGAGTTTGATATTGGTTTCACAGACCTTGAGTTATATCTTTGCACATTTTCAGAACCGATTCCTTCTTCTGGATTGGTATACCACGGTGCGTTTAAAAGTCCTCTTTGATATTCTGGATTTCTTTTGGGTTTCTGCGACGCATCAAACAAAAGTTGATTTTCATTACTGTTTTGCTTATCGAGTTCTCTTCGTTTGGCCCTTTCCTCAGCTGCCTGAATCAGATAATCCACCTTGTCGTTCTCTATGTTCTGAAAAATTTAGATTTATGTAATGTTTAGATTTACATTTAATTATATGCCCAATATTTAAATAAGCACCCAGAAATTGCTACTTATTTTCACCCTAACATCCAACGAAAATCACAATTGTTGTGTATCATCACAAATACATTACAAGTTCTTACTCTATGTACCGCTTGGATACTTAAAATACACTTTAACTTATTTTACAAATCTCATGTTGAGTTTACTTAAATGGCTTTCCTATAGTTGCATTTACATCTCTTTACCTAAAATATTTAAGCTAAATACGTTTCAACTTGATGCTAACTATACATAATATACTTAGTTCACCTATATTTAAAGGCGAGCTTGGTAATGATATATTTCACTTTTTTCTTTCACCCGAAAAGTCAGTCTTATAGTCGGAGTTTACCATTGAAGCATCCATTATTCAGACTTTCTGGTTTGATACATAGTTTTGTTCAATTTCTAGAGGATTATTTGTGCCCTGAGTTTTCAAATGTTAATTCAATCAGCACCCTATCAAGACTTACTCCGTTGGTATAATTTCGGGGATTTTCGTATAAATTCTCAATCTCCTGAGAATATGTGTGTTCATTGTCCTCTATTTTTAATTTGATACAAGTGAAATACTACCAACCTTCTCCTGATTGCAAGACAGTAGTAAGGGCTTTTTCATGAGTTCTTTCTATGGAATCTGAACTTCCACTTTCCAGAACTTCATCACGGGATTCAGTCTAAATGTCTGTCACAAACGATTTTATGTTACATGTTCAAATTCGCGAACTTTTGTTTTTGGGAAATGCTCCATGCTGATATTATCCACCTAAAGAATATAAGTATTTACAAGAGACTTTATTAGAAATTTACTTGTCTGGTCTGACTAAATGAAGCTGATTGTTTGTTCACGATTTCGTCAGTGAAACGATTGTTCGTCTTAAGATATTTATAGATTGGATAGCTGGTATTCTCTCTATATGGTTCCTCGAAATACTGTGGCTCGTTTTCCGAACCGAATAGTGAAGTCCTCTTGTGTGCCTGATTAAAATGTTTCCTCCCCAATCCTTAAGTAAGAGTTTTAATAAATCTCGTAGTAGAATTTACGTCTTAGTTCTTCTGATATACAAACATGACTAGTCTTACAAATCACATTTGCTGAGAGCATCAAAAATAGAGTATTCTGTTGTCTGTATGCTCAAAAATTCAGTTTGTTAACCCAGATTTGTGAAGACTTCGTCAATTTTTCAAAGTTCACTACTATTTGTGTTACTATAGTGCATTGATTTAAACGTATTGTGACATGTACGTACTATGACTTTTGTAACGAGATAATGAAAATCACATCTTTTCCTATTTGTCACGTTTTATATGTTACCATATTTATACTGAACACATGTTGTTTCTCTGTATGAATGGTAAAGAAACTCATGGTTGTTTGGATATCTACACACACACTACCGCGGTTCAGTCTTCAGTAATAAGGATAGTAGGTTGATGAACCTGTGTTAATCCTGACAGATTTCCTTCCAGTGAAGGTCCAGCTTCTTTTTGAAAATGTTCACTGATGGTGCTGATACCACTTGTTCTGGTAAAGCGTTCCAGTCATTGACCACTCGATGAGAAAAACGGGACCCCACCTTTAGTTTATTAGATCGCGGTTTCAGAACCTTCTTGCTATGACCCCGGAGATTATTAGTGCTGGAGGGAGCAAAAAGGTAGGACATATTAACACCCAGATCATAATTAAAGATACGAAATGCCAGTATAAGGTCACCTCGCGTCCTACGATAAGATAAGGGGAAAAGATTTAGACGTTTTAAACGCTCATCGTAAGGGAGTTTCGAAAGACCCTTTACTAATTTTTTCCCTACACGCTGGACACGCTCAAGCGATTTAGTATCCTTTATCAGGAAAGAGCTAGCTGCTTGGATACAGTATTCTAAGTGTGGCCTTACATAGGTGGGATATAAAATTCGAAAAATATCCTCGTCAAAGCATTTAAATGCTCTGCGAAGCGACCATAGCGCGCGATAGCCTTTGGAAGCAACCGCACTGCAGTGCGTTGTAGTTTTTAAGTCGTGACTTATAATTACTCCTAAGTCTTTATGCTCATGAACGCGTGGCAGAGATGTACCATTAATGGTATAGTGGTAACTAATATCGTGCCCGATGTGCATGAACACGCTCTTCCTGGAATTAACTTCCAGGTCCCAATCATGAACCCACCTAACTAATTCGTCTAAATCTGCTTGTAGATAACAACGATCAGTCTCATTTCTTATTGTTCTCCAGATTTTAACATCATCCGCAAACAATAACGTCGACGACTTAAGTAATAAAGGTAGTTCATTAATATACAGAAGGAAAAGTAAAGGGCCCAAGATGGTGTCTTGGGGTACACCACTTTTGACCGGTTTCCATTCGGATAGAGTTCCATTGACTCTCACTCTCTGTCTGCGGTCACATAAGAAGCTTCCTATCCATTCCTGTACAGCACCTGTTATACCAAAGCTCGAGAGCTTTTGCATAAGACCTAAGTGTGAAACCTTATCAAACGCTTTGCTAAAATCTATGAATATCACGTCGACAGACTGGCCGTTGTCTAGGGCAGCTGTCCAATCCTCTCTCGCAATGAGTAAGTTAGTCAAGCATGAATGCTTGTTACGAAACCCATGTTGCTCGGGAGTTAACAGATTGTACGAATCAATGTGGCTCAGTAGCTTAGCCCGAATTAATTTTTCAAGTAACTTAACTACTATACTGGTCAGGCTAACAGGCCGGTAGTTAGATACTATCCGTCTCTGACCATCCTTAAATATAGGACTAACTATGGCGTCTTTCCAGTCTCTAGGTAGTTGAGCCTGTGAAAGGGACATGTTGAAGAGCATCGTGAGCGGTCTTGAGATATTGTCCGCAAGCGACGACAGCAAACGTGGGTGTAACCCATCGGGGCCCGGTATCTTACAAGGTTTTAGGTTAGTTATTAAAGGAAGAACTATATCCTCTGTCACGTGTAAGGGTCCTATGGCTGGTATCTCATTGTCAACGGGACAAGTAGTTGTAACACTACACGTAGAGTAGACTTCACTGAAATAGTTAGCAAATAACTCCGCTTTCGCCAGATCAGATTCAGCCAATAAAGCTGAATTTTCGCTTAACAGTAATGAGGGGATACCATCACTACGTTTCGTCCGCCTTTTAACGTACGAAAACAGTCGCTTCGGACAGGTACGGCTATCGTATGCCAACTGTCGTTCGTAAGCCGTGCGGGATTTAGCTATGGTCTTTTTACATATATTCCGGATTTTTTTATATTCGCACTTAAATGATACCTGACCTGTTGACAAGAATAAGTCCCAGAAGTGTTTCCTACGCTTCAACAGCTTCCGGGTTTCCTTATTAATCCATGGAGGGCAATATGATAACTTACGTGCTGACCATGGGATAAACGGTTGAGTTACGGATTCGAACGTAGCCTTAAACCTTTTCCATGCATCATCAATCGATCCATCAGCATCGACCGACCAGTCAATTGAGATAGCATAGTCCCTGATTGCCGGAATATTAGCTCTCCAGATATTAGGACGGGGTGGAGCTGATGCAAATTCTATACCATGTATCCGGAACTTAAAGGAAAATACGACATGGTCACTATTCACCAGTGGGGGAAGATGTTGAATGTCAACGATATCTTCACAGTGGTGTGTGAGGACAAGGTCTATCAATGACGGATTATGTTCCAAGTCTATATGCGTCGGCTTAACGATACATTGTACAAGTGCACATTGAATAATTGATGACAGAAGGACGCTATCGAAACCCCCACATGGAGCTCTGAGCTCTATCCAGTTTATATGGGGTGCATTGAAATCTCCAACGATGAGACAACATTCTGCTTTACTCCAAGAACAGACGTGTTTTAGGATAAAGTAGTCAGCGAGACAACACGGACTACGATATATTCCTCCTATCGTCACTAACCCGTTTCTAGATCTAATTGTACAACATACTACCTCACACGTACCACTTACATGCGCCTCCGATACGATCGAGTTAATGCGGAAGTCGTCCCTAATATATAATATTATGCCTCCTCCCTTGCGACTTCTAACTCTATCACTTCTGACACAGATGTAGCCTGAAATGACTGGAGAACAGTCTATATCTACAGTGATCCAAGTTTCAGTGATAACAATTATATCCGGATTTAAGTCGTCTACCATCAAACTTAGTTCAGACATCTTATTCCGAAGACTACGAGCATTCGTATAACACACATTTAGGGTGTTTTTGGAGACATGCGTTCTACCCACACAGGTCTCGGAAGCATTGGCTTCCAAGACCTGACTACCCGAAATACACTACCGCGGTTGTTAAAATATAAACGCTGTCTCGGCCGTCTGTTCTTTAGCTTCATCATAGTCGTATGCTCCCAACCATCCTTTTCTGAGTCGGCTGTGAATTAGAAGATTTCAGATATTCTGGATAGCACTTGGGTTTTATTTGGAATAATAATTGTCTTTAATAAATATGTTTCCTCTCGACTTAGAACGTTTAAGTTTATTTTGAAAGAGTATGGTGAGTTCTGAGGAGTTATTACTAAGTTCGACAGCACGTTTTTCCTGTTCGATTGCTTTTTGTGTACTTATTGCGTCTGTCCGGACAAGTATTTCTGTCATCGTTACTGAAGAGGAAAAGTCATTAGAGTTATGGAAGCGAGTACAATGTCTCTGCAGACGTCTTCGTGTACCAACCGGTATATACAGGCCCTTAGAAAACTTAGGTCTCCAGTACTCTAAAGGTGCGATTTTGTTGATGATTCTTTCGATGATATTATTGCTATTTCACCTATTGCTAAGTTAGGTTGCTGGTAGACACAACCGAACAGTAAGGCAATGGAATTTGATGGCTTTAAAACAATCCACATCCGAGTCCTTCAGTTTGTTTAGTTCAGGCATATCGCATAGTAGTGAGTTTAAGCTAGAGTGAGCATAAATAAGGCATCCTCCGCCTCGTCCTTCCAATCTATCGCTTCTATATAGCAGATAGTTATCAAGAGATATACTTAGATCGGAAATATTACTGTTAGTCCATGCTTCAGATATCATTAAAAGTGATGGTTGATATATGGAAGCAAATCAGTCTTTTTGTTGCAGGTCGACCTAGGGTTGATAAGACACATATTAAACAAGTGGCCAACTAAGTTAAAGTGAGTGAGAGTAACTCGATTAAAGATGTCATGACCCTCGCGTGAGTGATGTATGTTTGAAGTGATGGATTGAGTGTTTTTCAATAGCTCTGTATTTTGATAGCTAGAGTTATTGGAACATGTATCAAATTAGCTAGTAAAGTTGCTCAGGGAGTTCATCCAGGAGGAAAGGGTGGAAGCACTTTCTGGTGCGAACTGTACGGAGGAAGCGAGTTTATCTTCCGCACTTGGTTTGAAATGAATAGGGTTATATGCTTCAACAGGGTGCAACTAGGGGCCTTATTCCAAAAAAATCAGGTTCATGTTGACTGTAAAGTATACTGTTATTTGCAAGATAGTTTTGATGGTTAAGCTCGTAGCCTCTGTTATAACTGTTTGTGCTAGTGCGAGCATGAGGGGGGTCTGATGCTCGTAACTGGAAGTGGTTACAAGTGTTGTTATATATGGAGGCCGTTTTCATGTGGTGGGCTGGTACTGGAAAGTTCTCATTCTGAGAGTAATTACAATTGTGATACTGGGGAATGTACATAGGGTGTGGGTGAGGAACCTGTAATTACCATACTTATTAACGGTTTCAGGCTTAAGAGGGTGAGTGGAGTGATCAGTATTCTGATAGTTTTAGTGAGTGAGCGTGTAAAAAGGTTTGTTACGCTCAAGCATACTACCTATTGTGCGAGGTGTTGATGGCAAGTTACATTATATCAGCTGGTAGAACCTATTCACTGTTTTTGGGATACCCACAGAACAGTTGGCCTCGATCTTACGTGTTTTCCTATTTTGTATTGTGGATTTTATCTCCCCAGTGTTTTTTGTCATAGCTGGAGGGTTTCTTTGCTTCTGTGAGATGAACTTAGGTTCATTCGAATCCTCTTGTGGAGTATCTCTTAGGGGACTAATTTTTAAATGTATATGTTTAGTTGAGTGTGTTTCGTTACGCGGCTCACATTTTGGTATTATACTGAGCGAACACCCGGGATCAGAGATGCTTTTTGGTGACAGGTGGGGACCGTATCTTATCCAAAGATTTCTGATCTGCAGACTCATCCAGATCTACGGATGGACCTGTCGTTTGTGGTATGACATCGTGCTAGTTGCCCATGCGCTTTATATCATTTATTTTGTTGCATACTGTCTATTGCTGGTTCTTTACTATCACTCTATCATACGATTCTATTGCTTCACGTCTTCTTATACGACGTTGACACGGTGTTAGGTCAGGAGTGACTTT